GAGGAGCCAATCAGCTAGATGTTGCTGGGGCAGTCTGAAGCTTGCTGGCAGCTGGAAGTTTGCTGGGGCCCCTTTGGCTGTGGCTCTCAACAAGACGAGCCATCTAGATCTATGAAAGCAAATAGACTGTGTTCATGTGTGCTCATAACTGAATTCTTTCTGACAACAGTGAATTGCATGAAGTTTACCATCAGCCCTTTGGAAACTAACACAAGCACAGGAAGATGCACATGATGTTTCAGTCTAGCCCTGTCACCCAGATTCCTCCCTTGCAGCCTTTTGCCCTGTTGTCTCTTGTGTTTTCTGTGCACCACCTGTAGACACGCACTGCTTTTCCTTTTTATAGTCCTGATCCAGCCCAGCTGGGGCCGTGTTCTGGTTGTTGGTTTTCTCAAGTCCCTGCTTCTTAGGCTGGGTTCTATGTCACTTCATCACCCGAGGTCTTGGTCACCGCGGTCAGCCGTGCTTCCCGTGTGGCCCACGCTGCCTGCCGGTCTCCGGTGGGCCCCTCTGCACGGGTCCCTCATGGACTTTCTCCCGCAGCTCTGCTTTCAAGATGGAAGGGGATGACGCGCCCATCAAGCGCTGCCCCAAGTGCAAAGTCTACATCGAGCGAGACGAAGGGTGCGCCCAGATGATGTGCAAGAGTTGTAAGCACGCCTTCTGCTGGTACTGCCTGGAGTCCCTGGATGTGAGTACCGCCACGGGCGGGTCCAGGGCCCCAGGGGGCTGTGAGGGTCAAGCTGGGGTGGGAAAGGACCAGCCACTCCCCGAGAGCTTGGAGGTTATTCCTGGAAAGGAGAAGTAACAAGAGCGGACATTTGTCCTGAGTTGTGGAAACGTCAGCTCCGAGTGCCACTTGTCCAGGCGACCCGTTCAGCAGCTCTGGGCGTGGACGCTCCGGCAGGCTTGGGGTTCCACCTGGCTTTCAGGGGTGTTGAGAGCCTCAGTCCTCTGGTGCTCCCTCACCAGCGTGGCCGCTGGGTTGCATAGCTGCAGAGGTGCAGAGTGGGTGGCGTGAGCCATGGGCTGTTTTCCTCAGGGCTTAGGACAGGTACAGACAGTTCCCACTCCTGCTGAGGTCCCTTCATGGCCACCTTCTCACTGTGTCTTCATGTGGCAGAGAGGACACTGGCTAATCCCATCCTGGGTTCCACCCTCAGGACCTCATGGAAACCTAATTGCCCTCAAAGACCCCCTCCTGACACCATCACATTGGGGCTAAGGGTGTCCCCAATGGCACAAACATTCTGCATGTGACAGGGCCTGGTGGTGGGTGAGCAAAGGCGCACAGAGGGAGAGAAGGTTGAGGGCTGGGTGCGCGCGGCTTCCGTTCCTCACGGCCCCACTGTGAGCTTTGTGTCCTTGGCAGATCAAAGAGCGCTGAAAAATAGCCCTGTGACCCTAGAGGGCAGATTCTGTTTGGGCAGCTTATCAAGGACAGTCACGTGGTTTCAGACCAGGTCACAAGTGCGTGGCTGGAAGGCAGCCCGAGCCCTGGCCGGCCCAGCACGCAGGCTCCCCCTGGGCTCTCCTCATTTTCCCACCAAGGCCCACGCCACGACACAGAGGCCTCCGGACACAGACGAGTGGACGGTGCTCCTCTCACGATCCTGCCCACCCCTCAGGGAGTCTCCGTGGTGCTCCCCACTTGTCACCCTGTGCCCACACCCACTGCTCACGGGAGCTGGTCCTCTCGAGTCAGCAGACAGTAGAGGGTTGGTGAGAGCTGAGGAGGCCCTTCCTGGTCAGTCGGCTGTGCAGACCCTCTCTTCACCCGGCACTTCCACGACTTGGGACTGAGGATTCTTTTTCTTGAGAGAAAGTCCAGGGAAGTTACTAGTGTTTGCCCAAAGCCCCTGGCTGGCAAGGAAGGGGCCTGGTGTCCAGTGTCCAGCCTCTGACCATTCAAGCTCTAAAACCTGTCACTGATGCCTGGGCCAGGTGGCTTCAAGCCAGAATTGGACAGGACACGTTAAGCCTCACAGAAGAACCTGCCCAAAGCCTCAGTCCCTGTCCTGTGCAGCTGACTGACCGTGACTGTCTGTACATGGCCTGTCGTTTCTCATGCCCCCGTAAGTTGGGTGACACCTCTGATCAACAGGAAGGAAAATACTCCTTGTCATAAAAACACTGCTGGACGCCCGGCAGCTGCTGGGATCGCTCTGCCCAAGGGCTGCATCAGTAAGTTTAAAATCACAATTAAACTGATACAACGTGGGACCCGTTCAGAGTGCTTCTGTCAGGGGATAGAAAGCACATCTTAAATTGCCTGTCCTGGTCTTCTTAAGACCTGCACTGAGCGTGGGCAGCTCCTCGGGGTGGGAGGGTGGCCTTGTCCTTGATCTGGAGGAGCCTGCCCTCTCCCTGGCACGTGACATGAGAGCATCCTTATGAAGAAGGCTGTCACGAGGGTGAAGGCCACGGGCAGCCGGGGAGCAGCCCAGTACCAGGTGTGGGGGGTGGGGCGCGGTCCCAGCTAAGGACCTGAAGACCAGAAGGTGCTAAGCAAAAGGAACATGACCAGAACTGTTGGGCCCATGACTCAGGTCACCACAAAGGTTTCCATGGGCAGGCAAAGGGCTTTGGCCTTCAGCACAGGGTCCCGTGCACCCACCCAACACCTATCCAAGGACAGTTTGGTCAGAATCACTTAGAGAGTTTGCCCTGGGACCTGCCATGGATCCATGGGTCTCTATCTGCAGGTGAAGCCTAGAGCCTTCATTTCCAGGGGATTCTGATGTGCAGAAAGCACTGTTGCTGGCAGAGATCATTAAAGATTTCTAAACCGAGTAGTGCCATGTGGTTCAGTTTACTTTCCAGGAAACAGATTCAAAACCATTTTCACCTACAGAACAAGACATCATGATAGGCTGTTTGGGAGATGAGATGTAAGAATGGAACTTGAACTGATCCGGGTGGTGTGTGCCTGAGCGTCCAAGTGAAGGAAAGAGCTCAGTCCTCCTCAGGAGGAAGGAGGCGTGCTCTAACAGTGGACAGAAGAGGCCAGACATGTCGTGGTTGAAGGCAGGCGTGGGGTTGGAAGAGGCTGTGAGTTCAGCTGCCCTGCCTGCCTTCCCACAGAAGAGGGCCAAGGCAAACAAGGGGAGGCCAGCCTCTGCGAGGGCTTCGCAGGCTTGCACGGAAACAGCCAGGATTCAGTGCCACAGCACCGTGGTACAGACCCCAGGAGACTAGCCTCAGCACCCTAGCGGCTGGCACCCTTCTCCAGATGAGAGAAAGCGAGCTCAGCACCCGGCCTCGCTGAATGGTTCCAGGAGCCACAAGAGAGCAGCTCATGTCCAGTGCTGCAGTTTCAAAGAGTGGCTTCCTGTCTCTCTGCCACCCGGGGCCCTGTGTTTGCTTACTTTTCCTCAGAAGGAGGTTGTTGACAGAGGTCAGTTGTATGAGTGGACAGCACTGCGCTGGCCCTGCATGGGGCCATTTTGAAGAGCTGCCGTTTCCTAGATTAGCGGTAGGTGGGAGGGGCTCTCCTGCATGGAGTACGGCCACAGGAGTGCTGATGGGGATCTGGATGACAGGCACTGAACTGTGCAGCGCTGCCTGCCTCAGTTCCAGGAAGCCGAGGGTCTGGGGGGTTGTCTTAGGAAGTGGTTGGAGAGTCGAGTGGGGAATCGAGCAGATGTCTCCATGAGTGTCAAGAAAGGAGTGTCTGCTCACTCTGTACAGTTGGAGACCCTGTGGGGAGAAGATGTTCCTGGGCTGGTTCTTAGATAAAAAACAGTTCAATGGTCTGAGTCAAGAGGGAGCAGCTTTAGATGAGAAGCTGATGCTGAAGACAGTGCAGAAGTGAAGTGGATCTTCTAGTCTCTGGAGTGAGCCTGTGCTGGGTCCTCCCCTGGGACCATGCACGGCCAGGCCTCGGGGCCCTGGGGAGTAGCACTTGACCTGCTTGTCCAGAAGCCCTGAGCTGGCACGACTTGCTCTTTCCTGCAAGCTCAGGATATGGCCACTGTGCCCAGGGAGGCCCTGCTTTGTTTGGGCTGGGGACATCTGGCTCAGGACCTCTCCAGTGTGCCAGGTGACTGTCGCCCTGGGCTGCTCCTTGTGAATAGTGGTGGCTGGAGGCAGGCGTGTGGCACAGGCCTGGCCTCCCGTCTCCACTGGTTGCCTGTGAAGTAAAGGAGGTGTGGCCGCGGTGGAGACCCAGTGAACCGATCCCCTCTCCCTGTCCCTTCCTGTGTCTTCCCCAGGATGACTTCCTCCTGATACACTATGACAAGGGACCCTGCCGCAACAAGCTGGGCCACTCTCGGGCCTCTGTGATCTGGCATCGGACACAGGTAAGAGGTAGCTGGCCTGGACCTTTGATCTGGACACTGTGTGTGTGTGTGTGTGTGTGTGTGTGTTCTAGGAAAGGGGCCAGTTGGCTGAAGAGCTGCTGTGTAGAAAGGCAGAGCTGGGAATATGGCAACACAGTCCTGCTGGGCTGCTGGCCGGGGGGTGCCCTGGCCCCATGGTGAGTGACCGAGCATCTCCTGCAGCATCGCACACATTGCCTGTCTGCTGCTCATGGCCTGAGTCCGGGTCTACTGGTGCTTAACCAAAGGCTTTCCAGAAAAGGCCTGAGCTCAGCAAGTCGGTACCAGGGAATGGGGACAGGAAAGGACAGTTGCAGCTGAGTGCCCTGGAAACCCTCAAGTGGTTTAGGCAGGGGCTGTTTGCAGTGAGCGTTCCCCTCAAGAGCACTGTTATATAAAGCAAGGCGTCCTTGTGGGTGACCCATGTCACTGGCTGCACGCAGCAGCTTCCCCACAGCGTGAGCCGCCTGTTGCTTGCCTGGGCTGCCCTAGGGGACCTTGGAGGCAGCCCTTTGCAGTGGCTGCTCATGTCTCTGGCCTAGTGCTGGTCCCAGTCTAGGCTACAGACAGGGAGCAGGAGGCTTTGGGATGCCCCAAGCCCTGGGGGCCAGGGTGACATTAGCCAAGGCATCATGCCCATCCTCCTCAAGCTCAGAACAAGCAACAGGTGACAGAGGCCCTACACACAGGGCCATAGCAAGTCCCCTGGCTGCCAAGAAATGCACCTCTTAAAAACCCGGGGCTTTACAAGTTCAGTGTGGATAAGTTTTCAGGAATGGTGGCTAGATGAGCTCTTCCGGGGTGTGTGTGGAGTCAAGTACCCCCAGCTGTGGTGCCTAGAGAAATAGCAGGCCCCGCACTGCTAGAGGCTTCACCGTGCCACCCCTCCTTCCTCACACCCTCCAGGACATCCTGTTTCCTGTCCAGAAGTACCCAGAAGGGGTGATGAGGCTGACTGGCCCAAGGGCTTCGTTTGCTGCCCTCTAATCAGGAGATTTGGTTTTGGCTGTAGGCGCTTTCTCTCCTGGGGGTGCACAGCCTAAATGCTCCTCTCCCACCTCCATGTGAGTCCATCTGCACAGGACACTGCCACCAAGCTCTGCCAACTCGCTGGCTCAGAGCAGCAGAAACGTATTGTCTCTCTGGAAGCCAGAAGTCTGGGGCCAGGGTGTGGCCAGGGCCTCGCCCTGACCCTGTGGGGACCCCCACTGGCCTCCTGAACTCCGGGCTCTGCCAGCACTCGGAGCCCTCTGGCTGGAGAGCATCCTCCAGTCCTGACCCCAGGTGGTGTCTTCCCCTCTGGGGCTTCACGTTCTCTTCCTGTGTCTGGCTCTGTGTCCAAAGTCCTTCTTTGAATGAGGTCAGCAATCAAATTAAATTAAATCCCATCCTGTTAACCGCATTTTAACTTGATTACGTCTGCAAAGACCCTGTTTCCAAAGAGGGTCACTGTGTACCTAGGGGCTTAGGACTTCGACATGTCATTTTGGAGGGACACAATTCAACCCATAGAAACCCTCTCCGACGGTGTAGGATACCACAGGGGGGTCCCATCCTTCTCAGCCCTGGTTTTTGCCTGGGCTGTATCTAGAGGGCATGCGGGAGCTGCTGGGGCTTCCTGCATCTGCATAGCCACTCCTGGACCAGAGGCTGCTGTGTGGACTCCATGGCTTGAGGCACCTGCCTCCTTCTTCCCATTGCCTTCCCAGAATCAAGCTGAGCCGTGGAGGAGCCGGAATGTGCATTTCTGTTTCTCTAGAGTGGACCCACACGCAGGCCGCTGGCCTCTGCCAGGAGAGGAGCTTGTCCAGTGCTGGCCCTTCCTTCTCTCCTGGGCACTGAAGAGCTTTTCACCAGGCCCAGCTCTGCTCATGGCGGCACTTGTTTTAGCCCCGGATGGTGCACACACACACACACACACACACACACACACACACACACACACACAAGCATGGGTCTGCCTGGGACGTCTCTGTCCTGAGCAGAAGGGCAGGACGCCCTCCCGGGTGCTCATCTCCTGGAAGCTTCACGTGGGGTGTTCTGCAGGTGCTGCTCATGAGCCAGTGAGGTGGGCCCTGGGATGCCAGCTTTGTCATGGAAACCAATACTGGAACGTCTAGAATAGCTTCTTTGCATCTCTGAAGTGAGAAAGTTGGACTGGACTACAATTCAGCATCCGCTTGACACCACTGCGCTCCGCCTGCCTTTGCCGTGTTCTGAGGTCATGTTCCAGCACATCAAAGGCGCCCTGTACACTTTCCTGGGTCTTTGATTGTGGTTGAGTTTCCCCAAACCTTTGGGGACTCCCTGGAGAGACTCCTCGGAGAACTGTCCTTCTCCCTCCAGAGGGTGGGTCCCCCGACCACTTGCCTGTCCTTCATCCTGAGAGGCACTGGGCCAGGGTGGGGCCTTGAAGTGGCTACAGAGGGTGAGTTCTGTTCTTACGCAGCATCTGGTACCAATGGAGGCTGGCTCTCTGCAGACCTCAGGGTTGCTGGTGCGGCTGTCACTGTGCTTCTCAGTGACCCTCTCAGGGCTCTGACCGGTACCATCCTGTCTCCTGTGGTCTGGTGCCTGACACCTCCAGCAAGCTCCCCAAGTGATTCTGTCTGTTTCATGGTGTCTGGTTGTCTCATGATTTCCTCTTGGTCGCATTCTCCTGGTGATATCCATCCACCTACCACCAGCTGGCATAGATTGGTAACCCAACTTGTCAAAGAGTATGCACAGTTAGACAGGATAGACCAAGTGAGAAGAGAAGGGGGCATCAGGTTGGCAAGAATGTGAGCGTTTGGTCAGAGATTCGGGGTGTGTGGCTCCTTTGAGACTGATAACTGTGTACCAGTCACATGGGCTCTCAGGAAAGCCTTTCAAATAAGACTTTCCACATGTTCTTATGGGCCCAGGCATTAGTGTGCAGGTAATTTTAGCAAAGCACAACCCAATTCACACTGTGATCCAGTCACTGATTTCACGTTCTGCAGAGGAAGGTCTCTGGCTGGGCAGCAGTAGTGATTCCCCAGCATGTGCACCACCTGATTTATCATCATGATGCCCATTTGTTTAATGCAGTCTTGCTTATAAACACACATATATGTGTGCATGGGATGCGTGTGCAAGTGTGTGGTCTTCAGAAGAAATCCTCATTCAAGGTATCCTTTCCTTCACACATCTGGGATGCTTTAGCAGCTGATAATTTTAGATCTGACAGTGGCTTTTCGAGATCTTTAGCTCACGTGTTTATTTTACAGTTGAGAAACCAGGCCCATGGAAAAGTGGAGTCAGAACACATGCCCAGAGCATTCCCGTACTTATGACTCTGAGCACTAGATGGCAGCCTAACTCCATCCTCGGATTTCAATTCTGCACTCCCTGCAGCCCGGGAGGGGTGCAGCTGGTGGACAAGCTGGTCATAAAGCAAAGTCTGTTTCCCTCGCACAGCAGCACTATCTAATTTCTACGACAATATGCCTATGTTTTAAGCTTATTATTTTCAGCATTTACACACACTAAGGGATAAACATGTTTTTAAAGAAAAATCAAAATTTGTAATAGTATTGGGCTTCCATCCTTGGGAATGACAAGTGTCAGGCCATCCTCTAACTTACCATGCCTGTGTCTTTCCCCTTGTCCCAGGCGGGATGCTTGACCCAGTCTTTCCTGTATACTAACCACCTCCACACCTCTGTAACCCCAGCTGTCCCCATGGGGAACCCTTCTTTCCTCCAGTGAATGTGGGTGACTGTTGTTTGGAATCCCTTGCACCTGGAGCGTGAGAGCAGTTTCTGTAAGATGCATTATTCCACTAAATCTTGGTCTTTCTCCACCAGAGTGCATCTTGAGGGCCAAGATCTCAGGCACCTTTGCACTCTCAGCACCTGGGACATTGTTAGAGGGAACTCAGCTCATTGGAGGCACAGATGGATGGGAGAAGGGAAGGGAGGAGAAAGGCAGAGAAGGAATTAGGAGGAAGGGGGAAAATTGAAGGGAAGCCAATAGGTGTGGATGAGAGCAGAACTGGGGATGAATGCTCATATGGGTGTTTGGTTGAGCAGACGTGTTGACGGGTGGACGAGGGTTCATGGGGGATAGAGAATGCATGGGAGTGGTGGGTGGGTGGGTGGGTGGATGGAGGATGGGGAGTGGTGGTGTTGCTCACACTCAGGGAACCCATGGACCAGGCTTCCTTACCTCTGCTCTTTGCTCCTTCTCCAGGTCGTGGGCATCTTTGCTGGCTTTGGGCTCCTGCTCTTGGTGGCCTCTCCATTCCTGCTGCTGGCCACCCCGTTTGTACTCTGCTGCAAGTGCAAGTGCACTAAGGGGGACGACGACCCGTTACCCACCTAGAGGAAGCACGGTGCTGCCGAGACCCCGCCTCCGGGACGTGTAGCTCCCCACCCACCCCCAGCCCCCCACTAAACATTTCTCTTGCCTTATGTGCCCCATTGAGCTTCACAGTGTCAGGCTGGATGCCGTGATTTCAGGGACCGATGTCAAGGTGTTGCCCAGGCCCCGGGGTGTGGTCGCCTAGTCTTGGGGAAGGCAAGACAGGCCAGGGTTGGGCACGTCCCCACAGCATCAGTCACTGCAGACCTGAGCGACAGTGTCGACAGAAGCACACCAGGCCTTTCCTCCCCGAGGCGTGGCGGTAGGCTAGGGACATCTGGTGGGGGCTAAGAGACCTTCTCCTTCAAAATGTTGTCCTCTCCTCCTTGGCTTCAAGATGGCACCATGTTGGGGGAGGCCGGATCACATCTGTCTTCAGACAGAATTTAATTATTCCAACTTGAAAAAAGCACTCAGTTGGTGACAACTGTTTCTATTACTAATGGCATTTAGCGAGGTCCTTTGTAGAAGGCTTTTCTTTTATCCTAGCTGAGTAGTGAAAACCAACACGGTGCATATGAACCATCCTCTGCCTTTCTTAAAATGTGCATTTTAAGAAGTTATAGTGCAGCGACTTTTCTGGCTTGACCACTTTTCAGGAGACTTGGAAAGCCTTATGCACTCTGTGTTTTTCTTGAAACTTGCTGTAATAACTTTCTGAATGCTGTAAGCTGTGTACTGTTATAAACACAGTTCCTATGTCGCTGCTTTCATTGGAAAATACTGACATGTTTAAAGGAACGTCTCCACAAGAGTCACCTTTTGTTCCTTCTGCTATGGGGATTCAGGATACCCACAGGGCTTGTTCCTTCTCACCCAGGTAGCGGCAAATAGTTTTTAATGTCTTCTAAACCAATGGTTTACTAAGAAATAGTTCCACTCAGAATGACTATGGTTTGGCCTCTTGCCCCAGTTTTCAAGTCAGACAGTAAAAAGAAAATTGCATTATCGATCCTGGGAGCCAGGGCCTTCTGCCAGAGGCTGGGGGGCCCTTGGAGAAGGGGCAGAAGTTTCTGGATATTCATATTTTTTAAATGCTTTAATTATTTTGAAAAATCATGTGTCTCACACAGTTCCAAGCCCTGTAGCTAACCAGTTTGCCCTGACTGGATAAAACGCTTGCAGTTCACTTTTGATGTGGGGATTTTACCATTTGGTCTTTCCCAGGGCTCTGTGTGACTGTTTCCATGGCAAAGAAATGCACGGATCAATAAGATGCACGTTACTCCATCACTTGTCTGAAGGGTGGAGAAAGCGTTTCCTTTAAAGAGAATTACTATGAGAGTCACATGTGCTTGCCAGGAACAAGAAGAAAATATTGTGGATTTATTACAGTGGAATTTCTTAAGACTTATTAAGAATTCTACCAAGGAGTAAAACAAAAGCAAAGTCCTTTTATCTCGGTTGTTTGCTCATTGCAAGCACATTTTAAATATGAGGTTATTTTGTGTGTGTTTGACTCGACATTTACACATCCGTCTCAGGTCCTAGTACATCTTCCCTGCCTGCAAATTTCTTCTTTATTTCTTGACAGTGAATAGTTACGAAACAGAATCACTTCTCTCTTCACCTCTAGTATTGATTTTCTTTATGAAACAAGAGCCATTTAGGAGATCAGTCTGCATCAAAATTATGTTCGAGAAGTTTTCTTTGTAATTGCAGATTAAAAGTTCAGGAACTAAATAAGAACGTAGCTGAGGCTGTCTTTCAGGTGGGTCTCTGCAGTCTGAGATGTTGTTATGCATGAAAGGAATTTTCTGGAGATGGGCAACAACTCCATGAGCCAGTGGCCTGGGGACTTGGGACTTAAACCTGTAATTTGTAGGCACAGTTGCCTGGCCACTTTCCCTATCAAAGGCGGAAGGCATTTGGCCCTCTTTCCAGTGGCCTCTGGGGGACACCTTCCTGATGCCCCTGTCCTCCCAGGCTTGAATAGCTGCTGTCCATCACATGAGTCCATTCAGCAGTACCCCATCTTTGGGGAGGGATTTAGAGCCCAGAATGGGAGCCTAGACCCCTTATTCCTGGAGGGATGGCATGTCCTGTCTTGGAGGAGTCTCTGGCCCCATGACACACATCTCTAGCCCCAACCATCCTGTGCCTTCGTGTGCAATATGCTTCAAAAGCATGTGGTCTGGTGAGGTACCGACCACAGCAATCCTGGGGCCGCCAGGGCAGTCAGATAAGCACTGAGCTTTTGTATCAAACCTGCCTCTGTTTGCTCAGTGGGATTTAATATAAAAGTGAAACTGTCCACCCCTCTGTAAATGCCAGTAAGATCACCTGAAGGTACTGAAAGTAGCATGTCCCTCATCAGAATCCTTTTCTCTTAGTAAGGAATGCCATACCCATTTGTTACAGCAATGCAGTCTTCACATGCTGGATGTAAAATGTAAGTAGATTATGAGAGGATGGTCCTCCGTGTGAACTTAGGTCTTATCTGCACTCCGTAGATGGACTCATTACTGTTATTCAGCATGGTCTGTCCTGGTTGGAAAGTGACATTCACTTTCACAGATGATTTTCTCTTTGATGTCCTGCTAGCAGGTACTTTTATTCATTGAGAGGCCTTTAACTCCCGGGACTGGGAGAGGCCCTTAGTGAGAGGCCAGGGCTGCTGCAGGGTGGACCAGTGGGGAGCCCAGGGTTGACCTGTAGCTACCTGAAGCCCTTGGGCAGCCCGCCATCTCACCAGGCTTTTACTAGAGGTGCCTGGTTTCTGTCTGGCTCAGCCATGTGTCCTGTGTCCCCACAGATGTCCCGGGAGACCAAGTCTGTTCAGGTGGCAGAGATTGACTTCACAGCTGAGCTGAGTCAGACCTTGATTGCATGAGCAACGTCCTAATCAGTTCTTCTTCCTCGGCTCCCAGGAGCAGCTCAGACTGCAGAATGAACCCCCGGCACCTCTTCCAAGGGAACACACTCTCCTTACAATATATTCCATATGGCACATTCTGCCGTAGGAGAGCGAATGTCAGAGGTGAAAAGAGGACTTCAAGATGAATTTCTCTTTTTCATGTAGGTTGCAAAAAGCAAAAGTTATGTAACAAATTACAAGAGAAAAATTTCCCTTGGTAGTGTAAACATGAGGGAGTTGGAATGAACCAGGGTGGACTTTTTGTATTTTCTCAGATTACCGCTTATTAATAAACACACCTGTGTGTGTATATGTATATACCTATGTAAATCACAGATCATCAAGGGAAAACATTTTGCATGTTCAATGCTCCATGAAGGTCTCCTTAGAACATACCAAAGCTTGTTTTTTCCTTTTAATTGACCCAGGCCCTTATGACAATAAGCAACATGAGGGGATTATGACGGATGATTGCCAAAAACCCCCAATGGAGCGAAATGGCCCGCGTGAGACGCCATTGCTGGTGCGTCCCCTGGCGAGCATGCCCGCTGGTCGTCAGTCCCTTGGTCTCTGGCCGCCTCTGGTGTGCGCAGTCTGTCTTCCACAGTTCCAGAGCCCTCAGCGCAGGGTAGCTACGTGCCACGTGCCACGTGCCTGACCTGTCTTTCCTTTGCTCACTTTGCCGTGAGTGTGTTTGAATCTTGTGTAAACGCATGCATGAGTGAGCCATGCACATGTATACTTTATGTATTTGACAAGTGGTGGTAAAACAAAAAAACAAATTTGGTTTGTGTTTTTGAAATGTCAGTACGTTTTGTGCCACTAACACTGTGATGTATAAAAGAACTGTTTGGACGCCTTTCAATGTTGTGTTTTGTACTTTGGAATCACATGGGAAAAGTTTCATTTGTAACTTCAATACATATTTTAAATGTATTGTGTCTTATGTAGTTTGTCCCCCTTTCAAAGGGATTTCTTTTTAAAGATGTTTTGGCTGGAATACAGGTGACTTTTTAAAATCCTGCTTGGCTCCATCTTTTGTAGACGCCTCATTGACGACTGGCCACAAGATTGAAATACTGGGATGAGAGGTGGGAGGGAGAGAGGGCTGGCCAGGCGGGGGATGCTCTGTCCCTCTGCAAACCCAGCGTTTCTATTGGGGATCTTCTTTCTTGGGAGTGGTCTCAACTCTCAGATGACAAAATAATCTGCCTCCTTGGGGTTGAGTTGCCACATGTAGCCGTTCTCTGGGTCCTTGTGGTGTCAGACTAGAAGAGCATCCCTGCGAAGCATCCTGCTCAAGCACCCAACCCCCACCCCTGAGACGAGGGCTTACAAACCTGCCTTGTTTTACAGGGAGCATCATAAAACTCAGTGATCATTCTCTCTCTCTGCTGCAAAAAAGTAAATATGGATATTTCTTATTTAATAAGAAATTCAGCCATCTTTCAATATCTACAAGGAACTGGTTCCAGGAACCAGCCCCTCGGATACCAAAGCCCACAGATGCCCAAGTCCCTGCATACAAAGTTGCAGTGTTTGCATAAAACCTGGGCACACCCCCCACGTACTTTAAGTCACCTCTAGATTGCTGATAGATCCTAATAAAATCTAAATGGATGTTTTGCCTAGGGGAGAATCACAGGGAAGAAGTCTGCATATGCAGTACAGAGTTATTTAAATTTTGTTCTGAATATTTTCGATGCACTATGGCTTGGTAATCCTTGCAGACCTGCAGATGAAGAGGACCAATGGTAAGGGGAATCCAGAGACCAGGGTGTTTCCTTGATTTTCATCTGCCCCGTCTAAACTTCAAGGAGGGATATACCTCATTCATTAACAGGACACTAGACCAGGGAGAGAGAATGGGAGAGTTTCTTCTCCCATATTTAAATTTCAGGATCCACTCTGAGCGACTTGAAGCACAGGGTGAGGCACAGTTTCTTAGCTGGTGACTTGAGGGGGTGAAAGAATGTGTACAACTGCTCTCGGGGGCTCTTGGTCTGAAGAGGGGACAGAGAAGGCAGTCGATTGTCATAAGTAGTACAATGCTGTAGTAGACAATGCACAGCAGGTTTTGGGGACCCCACATGTGGGCATTCTGCAGTCCTGGATGTCAGAGAGGCCTGTGCAGAGGATGTCGTATGTGAGCTGATCTTGCAGACAAGGAGGTGTTGGCCGTGGAAAGAGAATTCATGGGAGTGGTCCCTCCAGCGGCGCAGGCCCTTGCCTCATGATCTGCTGGGATGGAGTGTGTGCTGGAGGCCGGCCTCCTGGAGGCAGAGGGACGTGGCCCTTGCTATAGAGGATCTGGGCGAGCGTGTTCATTGCCGCAGGCTGCTGAAGAAACGCACCGCGTGGGAGGCTACGGCAGCTTATCTGCTGCCTGACAGTGTGGAGGCTGGGAGTCCAAGGGCCAGGTGTGGGCAGGGGTGGATCCTTCTAGAGCTTTCTCTGGTGATGGCTGGCAACCCGTGACATTTTCTGGCTTGTGAATGCATCACCAAGTCTCTGCCGCCACCTTCACATGGCCTTCTCCCTGCATGTGTCCCTTTGTAAGGGTGCAGTTAGACCAGGCCCACCAGGGTGACCTCTTCTGAGTTTGACCATCTGCAAACGGCCTATTTGCAATAAGGTCACCTTCACAGGCCCTGGGGTTGGGACATCTTTTGGAGGGAACACAACTGAGCCCCTATGAGGGGATGTGGTCCACAAGTGGACACTCTGGTCCCGGGGAGGCCAATCCCGGGAGTCTGAGGACCTGGGGGTGCTACCTGGGGGCTGTTCAGAAGCAACTCTTCCCCACACTGGCTGAACCCCAGTCCCTTGAGCTAACCTGGCAGGTGGGGATTGCTCCCCAAAACCCTGCTGTTTATTTGCAAGTGGATTTGTGTGTGCATATAAGCATTTTTTTTTCCAAAAATTTTTTAAAAAAAGATTTTTGTCAGTGTTTTCAAACAGAAAAAAACCTCAAGAACTCGAATTACAGGGTCCTGAAAGGAAGGGACACTACTGAGCTGACCGGCTCTTATACCCAGGGTGGCTTTTGATGCTGACCTCACCCCAGGCTTCCCTGGGGAGACTGTGAAGTGGCCGGGACCCTGGGACAGTCACACACTCAGCTTGGCTCTATAGAGAGTGATGGGCGATCACTGCTGCCTGCCCGGTCACAGCTAGCTCTTCCCCCTCCAGTTGCTCAGGGTGTGCACTGAGGAAGCTGGCCTTGACCGGGAGCCAGACGGGGCACCAGGACAGAGCACGGTACTATCCACAACGTCAGGGAGGGCTGGATTCTGGGTCCAAGGGGCTGATTTCCTGTGCATGAACCTCAGCCTGGGAGCACTGGTCTCCTCATCTGAAAATGAGGGTAAAATGCACCTCACGGGATCTTTCTGAGGACAAATGACAAAGTGGTAAAAAAAAACACCAAGAATAATGGAATAAAATTCTCCATAGGGGAAAATCCTAATTTTGCACTCTGAAAAGTCATTTGCTCATTTCCTGGGTAATTATCTGAGTCTTTTTAAAATCTGCTTTTACTTATCCTACTGATCTCTTCATCATTGAGGAAATCCTGCAGGGCGTACATTCACATCTTCACCATGCAGGGAAGCGCCAGCCAGCACGAGCTCTTCCCCTCAGATCCAGAAGGGCATGAACCTGGGAAGTTCCTGACTGTGGACCATGCCATTGTGTCATCCAGGGACTTGGGAATGGACAGTGTCAGCACGGGTGTTTCTTCTCTGGGTCACCAACTTGTGTTCTTGCAGGACTCGTAGTTGGGACTTGCTGAACCCTTGTCAAATGAGAGAACTGGCTCCTGTTGCCCGCAGTGTGGGTGAGGGTGTGGGAGCCTGGCCAGTCAGATGGGGTTCTTCAGCTAAATAAACGAGAAGACGATTAAACTTCAGATGAGGGTGTGCAGACGGCAGAGGGAGAGCCTCGCTTCAGTTGGGGAGAAATCCGGATTAGAGCCGGGAGGTTTCTAAGAGCGATCACCTGGCTTTCTCCTTTCCAAGGGGCCTGTTAAGCCTCACAAGCCTGCCAGTCATTGTCTTCAGATTATAGTAAGAAAATGGGCTTGGGGCGGCCCCATGCCGCAGAGGGAACCGGGGGCCCAGGTGTACCTGACCCAGCCTTCCTGCCAGCTCTCCACCCGCCTTCTTGATTTGCACCTACTGACCTGCAGAGACATCCTTCAGTTATGTAGGCCGCTTGTTTTCTGGCCCTGCAAGAGTTTAAACTATGTTCTGTCTGAAGATAAAAATTCCACTTGAAAACAGAAGCTCCTACTCCTACGGCTTCCACACCAGCTCCATAAACCAAAAACAACAACAAAAAAGGCCAGGCATCCTGAGAGGAGGCGGCTCTCAGACACAATAAAACCAGAGATGCTTTTAAATCAGAAGACACACCTTTCACTCCCGCCCCCCATGACCACAGGAGGACCACCCCCAGGGGTTCTGGACCGCATTAGGCTGGACAGGGTGCCCACTGCAGGACAGGGGACAGGGTGCCCGCTGCAGGACAGGGGACAGGGTGCCTGCTGCAGGAGGGGCACTGCACATCCTCGGTAAACATTCTGTTCAGAGGAGGATTCCCACAACCATCCTAGGAAGGAAAATACCCTTAATGTCACAGTTGTTCACTTGGGTGAGGAAACTAAGACTCAGAATCATTAAGACTCTTACCCAATAATAAGTGACTGGTAGACCACAGGTCACAGTCCAACCCTGCAGCCTGTAGAAATGAACACAGGCCTTAGGAAGAGGCCAAGGCCACTGCTTGTCAAGGGTGACTCATGGTGGCCAGAGGGGTGCGGGGGGTGGCTGGCTGGGAGCAGATGGCTAGGTGCAGCCTGGCTGGGACTGAGGGAGGGACTGCACAGCATGGGCTCCTGTCCTAATCTGTCCTGGTAGGACAGGATCACCTTGGAAATCGACACTCCCCACAATTTGAAATAGACTAAAAAGGAGCCAGGACAAAATTAAAAACCATGAAAGTAAAGCTGGCGAGATGCACTGAGCCCATTGCGGTGAAGATGGGCTTAACCTGAGGTCAGTAGGAGTGTGCAGGGGATAATGCCCAGGCACAGTGGCCAGGGACTCCCCAGCAGACACCTGCTCTGCAGAAGCCTATGGTGAGCAGAGTGCAGAGCTGCAGAGCTCGGGAGGATTTGGTGCAAGCAATGGTACTCTCGTGGGGGATGATGTGGGAGGGCTTTGGGACCCGAGGAAGGTGCATGAAAACTGTCCCTGCATCAGGGCAGGTTCGGAAGGTGCCCTGTGCAGTTAGAGAGGAGTTGCACTTCCGGCAGCAGCAGGGCAAGGAAGGGAAAGCACAGAGGCATGAAGGGGTGGCATTTCCAGAACAGCTGCATGGTGGCCAAGCAGTTAATGATCAATTAATGTTTGCTGCTTGAATGAGCAAATAAATGCTCATCCATATGGTTGAAGCCTGGGCATGGGGTGAAACTGAAAGGGTATAAATTGTTGATCAATGGCAAGAGCAAAAGCTGAGAGGTGACCCGCTGGGAAACAAAGCTCACTCTCAGAAGAGAGAAGCTCCAGGGATTTTGCTTGATGACTCCACCCAGCACAAAAGATCCTGAAGTAGGCCTCCCTTGGGGTCCACAAAGGAGGAGGACAAAAACTCCCCTGTGCTCAGCTATTTGAGAACTTTTCAGGGACAAGAAAATGAGGTTGCAGAGAGAGCGGGATCCGCTCTTGTATCCTGCACAACTCCTAATACATTGTTGGTGCACAATGAATGTTAAATAATAATTTAATGTTTTTATTAACGACAAAGGAGCAATCAGCATGTTAATGAAACTTGCAGATGATACTAAACTGGGAGTTATTACAAATACCAATTAGGAGCTGCAGACAATGAAGAGGACAAAAAAGAGGGAAAGTTACAACAAAGCAAGTTTCTGTTTTGCAAAATACAAGCAAATGCACCTGCAAAAAAATGCATACTGTGGGGAAGGGGGCAGCCCACACAGGCTTAAAGGGGAACCGTC